GCCTGTGAGGAGGCTGCTTCCCATGCCCTATGAGGACTATTGGGGCCTGGTGGTTGCCATGGTGACGGAGAGAAGTGGGTGGATGCCAAAAATGTATGAGCCAGATTCCACTGTCTTTCTCCTGTGGGCTTCTGTAGGTGCAGGGCTGGTCAGACACCCATAAGGGCTCAGAATGAGCCCCCTGAGGGGGAGTTGGGGTGCCTGCCCCTGGGCATGACCTCCTCCAGGCCTGAGTGAGCATTGGATGAGGCCATGGAGGGTGGCTTGGCCTGAGGGAGCCAGAGGCAGGGCTGCTGGTCTTGTGTTCTCGAAGGGCAGGTGGGCTGTGATTGTAGCAGCCACAGGTGGGACAGGTGATGGTGAAGGAGGAACCCATCTCTGGATACACCCCAGGAATGAGGATGGGGAAGCTCCCACCACACCAGGCACATGACAGGTCCCAGCTCTGCCCCATTCAGGCCCTATTCCCATCTAGGCTCGGCCACAGGGGTTGGAAAGATGGGGTCCTGAGTGTGGAGAGCAACCTGGAGGCCTCGCCTTGTAGGAAACAAGAGGCTGGAGCAGAGAAGGTCTCAGGGAACTTGTTGCTACCGCTCTCCCCCCCCATGTTTCTAGAAGGTTCTCTGAGTGCCAGTGTGGCAAGTGGGGCTGGGGGTCCAGAGGACAGAGCCAGGACCCTCAGGGTAGCCATGGGGAAGCAGACCCCAGCTCCCAGTGGGGAAGAGCTTTTGTCAGTCTCAGCTGCCTATGTGAGCAGAAGCTGGCCACCTCCCCCTCCATCTGGCTGACCTTGTGAAGTGCCTTCCAGCTCTGAGACCCAAGGAGAGCCCAAGAGGGCGGAACCAACCTTTCTTGGAGGCTCAGGGGTCATTCCTTGAAAAACATCTTCACTAGGAGGGAGGTGAGTCCTACATCCTCCAATTATGCTCCCATCCAGCCAGCCCACAATGGGTCGCTCAGATAACCATCGGGGGCTGCACAAATTAACCCTGGAACAATGCTGGCTGCTTGGGCTATTTTTACAGTAGCCGTACGCCGGGCCGAACCCCCGTGTCGCCCCGAGGGAGCAGGGCAAAGAAAGGCCATGCGGATGCCGCCACCAGTCTGCGCTCTGGGAGACAGAGGAAGGGCTCAGCGAGCTGCCCGGCGGCTCCAGGAAGCCTTTTCTTGGTCTGCTCACCACCAGATAGCAAAACAATCGGGGTCCCCCACCCCGAGCCAGGGAGAGGAAGGAGGTGTGGGGGAAACAGGGGTTCTGTTGTGCTTTTGTGCCTCTGCTCCTCAGAGCACGGCCCCTGTGGGCCTGGCTTCTGGGACCAGGCCAACACGTCCCCTCTCCACACCCCAGGTCCTTGGGCAACCCCCACCTTGCTCTGCCTTGGACAGCTTTCTGAGCCAGGCAGCATGGAATGCAAGGCTCTGAGGCCCAGGGACTCACCAAGTACTGTGGTTGGGAACTGGCCGAGCCGAGGTTCTCACTAAGCACCAGCTGCTAGCAGATCCCACTCTGGGAACCATCTACCCAACGGTTCTTGCTTGATGACCTACTGTGCACCACACTCTGGGCAGATAGCAGTGGACAAGATAGGTCCTTGTCCCCAGGGAGGCACTACTCTAGTTGAGGAGGAGACAGTTAACAAGAAAGCAAGGGCATGAATCAAGACATTTTCACATAGTGCCAAGCAGTTTGACAAGACAGACTCAGATGCCCACTGAAGATGTCCTGTAAGCTGGGTGGTGAGCTGGCCCGGGTATGCCCATGTGATGCGGCCGCATCTGGTCCAGCTGATGGTTGTCCAAAAGAGTGTGAGCTAAACATGGCCTGAGCTTCCATTTTTTCAAGAGAACCTAGAAATCTTGACTTTTCTCTGAAATCTGATATTTTCAGAGTTGGCCACCAATATTTGGATCATGAAGACAAGTTGTGTCCCAGGCTGCTTAGCTCTGAGCCGGTCACCTTTGCCATTGTCCTTTTCATTCTGCAGGTGGAGAAATAGGCTCAGAGAGGGGTGGGTAGACTGGCTAGCTCTGGTCCTCCAGTTCATCTGCCTTCTGCGGCCCTCTGCCATGCAGCGGTAAACCCCTGAAGGCACCCTTTCCCTCTGGGCTGGGACTCACGATGCTCTTGCCCTCAAGGCTGAGCTACCAGGGAGAGTGAGAACTCAGAGACCTGAGGAGGCACAGAAAAAAGGGCCTCCTCTGGCTGGTGGCAGATGTCCTCTAGAATGGGGTCCAAGTAGGGGTGGGCTGAGAGTCACCACAAACAGCTCCTGGAGGAGTAGGGATTTGACCTCGTTTGGGACCTTCCATTGTCAAACCCATCAGGAGTCAGAGAACAGGGAGCCTGGATGATACAGGGGTCGGAGCAAGCCAGAGAATGAATAGAAAGGGGCGAGAATGGAGATTAACTGGCTTTCTTACATAATCCTCACCAGAGCAAAACCCTTATTTTTTATGCTGCAGAGATGTGACTGACTAATGCATTGCAAATATATTTCATAAACATCCATTTTCCATACTTTGATGGAAATCCCATTTTCAAATATTGTTTCCATTCCGGCCTGAAACCCCATTCCTCATTCGTTTCATGTTTATCCATTCTTTAAACAGTTAGGCGCAGGCACCTCCTGTGCAGCAGGCACTGTGCTGAGTCACGAGTGAAATGGGAGCTATCATTTTCTATGCAAATCCAAAATTTAGAATGAGTTTCCATTTCTAGAAAATTCAGGCAGGCAGGTGTTATTTGGAAGGTACCTTAGAAGTGCCTGGGATGTGTCGAATTTTGTAGAGATGATGCCAAGGCAGGGGTGGCTTCTCGCTTATCTGCCTGCAAGTGCAGGATGAGGTATGACATTCAAGCACGACAAAGGTGGATCCCTGGTGCTTCTTTTCAACAGTTTCTGGAGGAATGGAATCTGTCAATTTTTGAATCATTAGGTCCGTTATTGCCTAGAGGTGGGTCTGAATCACCCTGGATATTGTCAGATCAGTGGACAGACAGGGGGATGGCAGGCCCCCTGCCACAGGCCTGGGCAGGTCAGAGCTGGCCCATGTGTGAGAAGGGAGAGGTTGTGTTGAAGACACACAGGCTGTTCCTTACCAGCCACACACTGGGCTCTGTTTTGTCCCCCATAGAAAGCAAGGAGGAGATGGCCACCAAGGAGAAGCTGCAGTGTCTGAAAGACTTTCACAAGGACATCCTGAAGCCATCCCCAGGGAAGAGCCCTGGCACGCGGCCTGAGGATGAGGCTGAGGGGAAGCCTCCACAGAGGGAGAAGTGGTCCAGCAAGATCGACTTTGTGCTCTCCGTGGCTGGTGGCTTCGTTGGTTTGGGCAATGTCTGGCGTTTTCCGTACCTCTGCTACAAAAATGGTGGAGGTGAGTCCCGGCGGGGCAGAGAGAAGGGTAGGGCCAGAGTGGGAGCGGCCTCTCGTGCCCTGCTTTCCCGAGTCCCTACCGCAACCTCCCTCGGGCAGCCTGCGGCACCCTCGCCCGCTGCATCCCGCCTCAGAGGCAGGAGAGGAGCATGCCTGGGAATCAGGTGGTGTTCTGTCAGGGTGTTACTGTGTTACCTTGAGAAGACTCCTTACCCTCTCTGATCCTTCAGTTTACCATCTCTGAAGAGGGGTGATGATGAAGCCAGGCCCATATCCCCCAACCTCCAACACTAACACGTTCCCATCTTAAATTTCCTCTTATGTCCATGCCTTGTGACTCCTCCTTACATTATATCTTTCCTAATATTTGCTTTGGTTTTTCTAACTTAAACCAAATATAGTTCAAAAACAAGCTTCGTTTCCTCCCATAAATGGAAAAGCAGTATCATTTGCCATAACGGAAAGGTATCCAGGAAAAAAAAAATACAGTGAAGATATTTTTTTATTTTATTTTTTAATTAAAAAGTAGTTTCCAGTTTTATTAATGTATAACCTTGTATTAGTTCCAGGTGTGTAACATAATGATTTGATATATGTCCATATTCCTAAATGATCACCATGATAAGTTTAGTTAGCATATATCACCTCATAGTTATACATTTTTTCTTGTCATGAGAACTTTTAAAATTCCTCTCTTAGCATCTTTCAAGTATAATACAGTATTATTAACTATAGTCACCATGCTGTACATTCCACCCCCAGAATTTATTGTCTTGTAACTGAAAGTTTGTATTTTTTCGCCACCTTCACTCATTGGAGATATTTTTTAAATGTAAGGTCTCATCTGGTTGGTTTTGTTTTTTTTGGTTTTGTTTTGTTTGTTTTTGTTTTTTTAACCTGAAGGCTGTGAGCTAGAATCTTTCCCGTTGGAGGCGTCCAGNGCAGTTTTTTTTGGTTTTGTTTTGTTTGTTTTTGTTTTTTTAACCTGAAGGCTGTGAGCTAGAATCTTTCCCGTTGGAGGCGTCCAGGTCAGGCAGCACGTGCTGGGGACTTTCTTGCTGTGCAGTAAGAGGGGCCTGAAGAGCACTGGGTAGGGAGAACTGCCTGTAATCGAGGGCTTATCTGCCAGCAGAGATGGGCGTGCTGCATACAGCCCGTGTTAGGAGAATGACCTTTCAGGAAATTCTGCCTTAGAGTCTGGTTTCTTAACCTTTTGTAGGTCTCAGGCGCCTTTGGGACTCTGATGAGTGTCCTAGACGCTCCCCAGAGCAAAGCGCATACACATAGACCCAAGTTGCCCACAGTTTCAAAGGGTTTATGGACCCGCTGAAGCCATTAGTGGACACCAGGTAGGAACCCTCGCCCCAACTCTTTGCCCCTCACTTCTCCCCTGGCTCCCACCCCTAGCTGGAGGCGCCCTTCCTAGCTAGTTTGTCTCAGCTTCCTGCCCTGGGAAGGCCTGGGGACAGGTAGGTGAAGGCTTCAACAAGGAGGTCATATTTGAGGTGGGTCTTAAGGGCTGAGCAGTCCTTCTTCAGATGGACAATGTGGGGAAGCCAGGCAGGCAGTCGGCACAGCTTAACCAGAGGCTCAGAGACTGAAAGCACCTGGTAGATTTGAAGAAGGTGAGAGGGCACACTGGAAAGGCAATGCCAGTGGGACAGGTGGGCAGGGCCTGGAGAATTTTCAACCACGCCCAAGAGTTTGGCCTTTACCCTCCCATCCCTCACTCATTCTCTCTGGTTCCATTGGCTGGGAGGGCTTGGGAGCGAGTACCTGCAGCCTTGGCCCCTGTGACAGCCACAGCCTGACCCTCACCCCACTCTGCTCTCTCCTCAGGTGCATTTCTCATACCGTATTTTATTTTCCTGTTTGGGGGCGGCCTGCCTGTGTTTTTCCTGGAGGTAATCATAGGCCAGTACACCTCTGAAGGGGGCATCACCTGCTGGGAAAAGATCTGCCCCTTGTTCTCTGGTGAGTATGGGACAAAGGTCACCCGGGGCCTGGTGTTCATCGGTTCAGCAAATTTTTATTGAGCACCTGCTGTTTGCCAGGTACATTGAAGCCTCATGCAAGTCACTTGGCACTGTGCCTGACACAAGGTAGCAGCCAGTACATGATATGTGTGATACTGTTCAATACGTACTGGCTGTTCCCACCTCTCTGGGTTGTTGAAGGCTAGAGAAGCTAGTAGCTGCTTAGCAGTATAATGCAGAAGATAAGCACTCGGATTCAGGGGCCTTGCTGTCTGCGTTCGAGTCCCTCTTCCTCTTGCTAATAACTTGTAACTTTGGGAAAGTCACTTAATCTATTTGTCACTTAGCCCCTGTGACAGCCACACTTAATCATCTGTAAAATGGAAACAGTATGCCTACTTCACAGGGTTACTATGAAGACAAAATGACATAGTCATGTAAAAGTGCTTTGTCCATGTAATGAGCCCCAAATTAATGGTACTTTATTATTATAACATTTAGTCCTATGTCTAGTATCCAGTATGCATTCATAAGATAATACTGTTATGATTATAATTGCCAAGGATGGGAGGATATATGTCTACTTAGTCATCCAGATAAACCTATCCCTGTATCACCCGTCAAACCTTTCTTCATTAAACTAGTCAATTTAGTTAGAGTATCCACCCATTCGTCTCTCCATCTATCCATCATCCATCATCCATCATCCATCTATCTACCCATCTACTCGTTCATCCATCTNGTATCCACCCATTCGTCTCTCCATCTATCCATCATCCATCATCCATCTATCTACCCATCTACTCGTTCATCCATCTATTCATCTACCTAACCTTTCAGTCAATCCCCATCCATCCATCCATCCATCCACCCAACAAATCAAATGTCCATCCATCCATCCAACATCTATCCACTCAGCTATCTATTGGTCCATCTAACCATCTATCTAGCCATTGAACCATCTAACCATCCATTCATTGATCTCTCCTACCTCCATGCATTCTTCAATTATCCAAGTATCCCATTTATCTAACCAACCATTTTCTCACCTATCCATCCTTCCAGTCATCCATTCATCCTACAAATATTCGCTGGTCACTGTTGAAGGTCCCGTGGGGGTGCCACTGCCTTCCATTGTAGTATGTAGACGTAGTGGTTCTGGCCTTGCTCCTGATGCCCATCTTGCTTGTCCACACCCACAGGCATTGGCTATGCCTCCATTGTGATCGTGTCCCTCCTGAATGTGTACTACATCATCATCTTGGCTTGGGCCACATACTACCTGTTCCAGTCCTTCCAGTCGGAGCTGCCCTGGGCGCACTGCAACCACACCTGGAACACACCCTATTGTATGGAGGACACTATGCGCAAGAACAAGAGCCTGTGGATCTCTCTCAACACCAGCAACCTCACCTCCCCTGTCACGGAGTTCTGGGAGTAAGGCCTGCCTCACTAAGGAAGGAGGGGATGGGTGGGGGCAGAGAGGACATCCTGCTCCCTCATCTTCTCCCCAGCAATGTGGGAGTCTGTATCTTGTTGTGGGATTGGGGAGAAGGTGGGTACAGATTTGGAGATAAATCCATGCCTTTGGTCTCAGACAGGCCTGGAATCGAGTCCCAGTTCTGCCATTTTACTGGCTGTTTGACCTTCAGCAAGTCTCTGCCCCTTTCTGAACCTCAGTTTCTTTAACTGTCAAATGAGGGGAATGAATCGTTCCAACACTCATGGGATCTCTATGAGGATTTTTTCCCAAAGGCAGGTATACTTATATTGTCTGAAAATGATATCGTTTTCTTAATGTATTTTAGAAGAAATGTAGTTAGCATATCAAACCTGTTATTGCACAGAGAAAATGCATATATGAAACTGAAATAGTTAAACAAGTTAAGAGGTGAGTAGATAAAGTAAAAATTATGTGTCAGTTAGCTTTTGCTGTGTAACAAGCACCCCCAACTTGATGGTTTTAAACAACAGCCATTTATTTGCCTCAGTGTTCTGCTGATTGGTAGTTTGGGCTGAGCTTGGCTGGGCAGTTTTTCTGGCCTTTGCTGGGCTCCCTCATGGATAGGTCACCTGTAGGGCACCAGGGGATTGGCTGCTTATTGACTGGGTTACCAGGGTCCATATGGTCTCATCACCCAGCAGGTGCTACCCTGAGCTTATTCAGAGGCAGCTCGACATTCCAAAGCAACAAATGGGAAAGTCCCAGTGTAGGAGCACTCTTTTAAGCCTCTGCTTGTGTCATTTTTGTTAATGTCCCATTGGCCAAAGAAAACCACAAAAGACTAACCCAGATTCAAGCAAGAGGTGGAGAAATAGATTCTGTCTCTTTATGAGAGGAGTGGAGAATTATGGGCACTTTAACCATTTATCACACTATTGTCAATAGGTGTATACACATAGGATGAACATCAGGCAGGCAGAATGTGGAGGGACTTGAAGTTCGGGTACCTCTTAGCTGATATATGGGAAAGTTCTTCTAAAATAGTCCCTGGAGTCCAATTAAAAATATATTAGTGCATCGCTTTCCGTGCTCTTTATGAGCTATTAAATGGGTGCAGCCCCCGCTATCTGGAAATAACTGAGATAAAGCCTTGGAGGAAGCTTGAGAACCCAGAAGCAGGGAATGCAGTTAAGGAAGCAGTGGACCCTAGTCATCACAAGATGATTCTCCCTCTCTTTTGTGTGTGGCTTTGCTGTTTCCAAGGTGTGTCCCCACTTCTTAGAACCTGGCCCAAGAACAGGCCCACAGAAGAGGTTGGTCCCAGGCATGCTTTGGGGCTGGAGCTGGGATATAATAGGCAAGGTCAGTCAGTCCTCACTTGAGTAGTGCATGTCCCTGTCATGACACATGGGCCTTTCAGTATATGCCCGCCGGTCCCTGGGGCTGCTTGGCCTGGGGCTCTTTATGTGTACGTGTTTTCCACTTACAGACAAAGAGGGCATTACAAGCACATTCATCACCCCCTCGGCTCCCTACCCTCTGGAGAGCTGAGTTTACAGACAAAGAAACTCAGCACTGCATTCTTCTCACTTGAATGGGGCCTGAGACCACAGCCCTGTCCGCTCTCTGCTGTTCCTGGCACAGCCCGATCAGCTGGGGCCTGCCCCACCCAGGACACTGGCAGTCAACCAGCCACCCGGGCGCCTGCTGGGGCCTCATTCCCTCAGGCATAGATTGGCTGCCTGGGTTCAAACCCCAGCTCTGTCACTTCTGGCCTGGCCAGGTGCCTTTGCTTCTCTGGACCTTGGTGTCCTCACCTGTACCTGGAGAGATCATAGCACTGTCCTCCCAGGGATGTAGGGTTGCCCTAACCTGAGAACCTGTGTGATTAAATATGGTCCTTTGTTATTTATTTAGTGTCCTCATAGTGGATAAAACTGCTCCTCGGGGGCATTTGGAACTCAGTGATATGGCCTTCAGAAGGACTAAGAATGGCCCCCTCTCAAATGCCCATATTGCCCCCATATTGCAAAGGGCTTCCTCTTTGCTTGACTCCCTGCCATCTTAGGCCTGAGGGCTCTTGAGAAGACGCTCAGGTGAGCGATGAGGTCCTCAGGGTGTCCAGTCCTCACCCATGCCTTCTTTCCTGCCTGTCACCCATATTGGGCACTACTGGGGGATTCTGGGTCTCTTGCCTTCCAGAGTCTCCATTCTGAGTGCCCCAGCTCTCCTTCTTGGCCCCAAAGACATTAAGAAAGTGTTTATATTTGCAAATTTCCTGGTCCTGCAGACACCTTCCCAAGTGCCACATGATCCAGATGGGTTTGCTCAGTCCAGACAGCTCTGGCCTCCTATCCCATTTCAGCCTTTGCACCCCCTCCTCCTGGGTTCCAGCAGAGCTTTGTAAGCCCACCTGAACGTCCATAAATAATTTGCCTCCTTTCAGAACACTGGAGGACTGGAGTCCATAGAGGAGAAGCCTGGAAAGCAGGCCTAGGTGAGAGGACCCGACCTGCTGCCAGTGAGCTGGGCCAGGGGCTTCAGCTCAGGGCCACCCTGAGTTAGGCACAGTGGACAAGAAGGGCCTGGTGCCTGCCTTCAAGGGTCTCCCGTTCTCTTGGTCATAAAAAAGGGGAAAGAGAACTAATGTGAAATGACTGATTCCCATGAGCACTGTGCCAGGGACTTGCCCCTATCCTTTCATCTTTGCAGAGCTCCTGTAAATCAGATGACTCGCAAACTGCTTTCTACCTCAAATCTCACACGCAATTCACAGGTCCTCCTGGCTCTCCCTTAAAGTATATTCAGAGTCTGATCATCCCCACTTATACTGCAACGCTCTCCCTCCGCTTTGGGAACGCCATCATCACTCTCCCGGACCCCAGCACTGGCCTCTAACTGTATTCCCTGCCTTTTTCTTGCATCTCTGCAATCAGTTGTGAATCCAGGCATGTCATTTCTCAGCTCAGAGTCCTCTCATGGCTTTTGCCATACTGTGATCTCCCCTAGCCAGAGAGGATTTTAAGTGTTTCAACACAGTAAGTGCTCACCGATTGCTGATTCTTACTAACTGCACATCTGCATGCACTTGACTGTGTAGCCTGGAGCAGCAAGTCACTACCCCTCTCTGGCCTCATTTCCCCATCTGCAAATGGCTGTATAAACTGGGCTTTGAGGGATGAGTAGAAGCTCACTAGGCTGAAAAAGAGAGAGAAAAGACACCTGGGCAGAAGGAACATCCCGTGCATCCTGAAAGCACACAACTGTTTTGGAAATAGCAAGTCATTGGTTGGGCCAGAGCACAGGGAGAAGGGCTGAGGCTGCGAATGTTAGGCTGATTTCGAGCTTTGTTCTCTAGAAGCGGGAGCCATGGAAGGTATATGAGAAGGGGAGTGACATGATTGAATCTGTATTTTCTGGACATCACTTAAGCAACACACTGGTGGGGAAAAAGCTGGGACATATATTAAGCACAGACTGTATACATGGCCTCAGAGGGCTTAGTCATCGGGGATCTGGGTTCCCTTTGGAGGGAAACTTAACTTATATGATTTCCCCTGAAAATAACCACCAGCTCCATAGTGACTAGCCTCGGGGTTTTCACTGAGAAAGGCTTGCTGAGTTATTATTGAGGTGTCACTGGCTGGTGCCCCTATTGGGCTGCAGAGCAGTGAGGCTCTCAAAGGCTGGTGTCTATGCCCCTTGAGGTGAAGCCCAACCCTAGCTATTGTTTCCCTTCACTTCTCTCACTGGCACCAGATGTGTGGGTCCCTGACCTGTCTTTTCCTTGGGCAGATGATGCCTGATGGGTTCTCAGGAGCTCCCTGGGAATCAAGATAACAAGGCACCATGGGACCCGATACTTCCCCCTGGCCCTGGACAAAGGGTCCTTATAGATCATCCCTGCCCCCTCCAGTTTTACAAGAGGAGACAGTAGAGAGCAGTGGGTGATGCTCCCATTCCTGAGAGCGGGGAGATTGACTCTGGCTCCCGCATGTCTCATCTGCATGTCCTTGGGTCAGTCACTTGTCCAAACTTCAGAGATAACATGATCCCAGCACCTCACAGCCTGGCTTGAGGGCTAGAGGGCCTCTGGGCATGGCTTATTAGGACACTGAGGACCAGGGAGGTTAAATGACTTACCAAAGGTTGCTTGCTACTCTGCAGCTAGACATTTCAGAATTCCCAGCTCTGACCTCAGACACTGGATGCCACCTCCAGTGTCTGTGTTTCCATTAGCTGTAAGTCTGAGGTCACAGGTAACCTTGTGCCGTGTGTGTTTCCCCTCTCTGAGGTTATGCATGGGGTCTTTTCTTACCCCATCTGCAATGCTAAAACACCATGCTCAGCGGAGCCAGTGAGATACCCTTTACCAGATCCCTGTGCAAGACACCTGGGCTCCTGTGACAATCATTACACACTGGCTTTATAATTTAACTCTAAGTCACTGTATAATGGGGAAGCAGAGCTTCTTCCTCCCAGTCAACTTCGTTCTGCTTATCCCTGCCCTGGGGTCACCTCTCTCCTGAGGGTCCTGTTTCACCTCCAGCCCTGGAAGACAGGCAGGGCGAGATCTGGTCAAATGCCCTCCATCAGGCTGGAGCCATGCCTTCCTCCCCAGTTCCTCCAGAGCCCTCTGGGAGCTCAGCACGTATCATTAGACTTTATTAGAATCAAAGAAATGAGTCATATTTGCAAACAAGCCCCGCTCAGCCAATCTTCCCCTGCAGCTGTTGGAAGGGGGAGGCGGGGGAAGAAAGCCTTGTGTGGCCCCATGCTTAGGGCGGACGGGCTCTTTTATAATTGTTGCTTCCATCAGTCTCCAGGGAAGAGCCATCGCCAATAAATGGCTGGCCGGCATTCAAAAGGAAACGATTTGGCCCACTCGGAGGACGTATTTACATCTCTGAGTGCCGGCTGGACGGCAGCAGGCTGGCCGACTCAAAGCAGACGTCCAGGCAATTCTTTTTTGGATCCCACCCTGGAATGAATCATTACTATTCTTGGACAAGAATGCAACTCACCTCTGTATCTCCTCCCTTTGTATCAGAGATGCAGGGAAGTTTGGGATGCTGGGGACCCTCGTGAAAGGCAGTGCAGGACCCAGCACACTGGTGGCTGGTCCCCAGCGTGGCGTCAGAAAAAGAACCAGGCCCAGGGTTGATTTTTATCTGAGTAATTTCAGGTGAATTCCTGGACGTCTCTGAGCCTCAGTATCCACATCAACCAAATGGGTATAATTAATTTACTCAACTAATAGAGCACCTACTATGTGCCGGGCACTATTCTGAATCCAGCCGTGACAGACACCGGCCCTACCTCCATGGAGATGTCGTTTTAGTAGGACAGACAGACTAGGACACTGAGGACCAGGGAGGTTGAATGACTTGCCAAAGGCTACTACTTGCCAGGGAGGTTAAATGACTTGCCAAAGGTTTGCCACAAACAACATTGTAATAGAAAAGTGATAAGTGATGGAAAATAAAGCCAGGGCAGGGGAAAGAGAATGACCAGGGATGCTTTCTACAGAGGGTGGCCAGGAAAGAGTGCCCTGGTCAAGTGGCATTTGAACAAACCTGAAGTGGGGGGGGGCAATGTCATGTAAAGAGCAGCCGAGGGAACAGCCAGTTCACAGATCGTGAGGCAAGAGCGTGCTCCACCTATTCTGGGAACATTCCAGAAGCCAGTGTGGCTAAAGGAGGAAGTGAAGGGGCCATATATGGTGATGAGTTTCGAGATAGGGCTGCCCACTATACATGCAGCTTGTCCTGGACATGTCCCGTTTACACCTGTGGCCCCGGTCTCAGTAGGCACCACCCTCCTTCTCTGAGGTGTCTGGGTCTAATGATAGAGTATTTGGTCACAGTGAGGCAAAAAGCAGGAGGGCAAGTCAGAGGCCTTACTGGCCAGGTCGGCAGGAGCCATGGAGGACGGGTGACCTGACTTGGGTATTGGCAGGCTGATCAGAACAAACTGGGGGCTGAGGGTGGAGGCAGAAAGACCGCCTGGGAGCAGTGGGGTGGTGGCGGTGTTGGGGAGATGTGGCCAGATTTGGGGTAACCTGTACTGTCTCCTGGTGTGGTTAGGGGGCACCTGTGAGGGGCAGTGCACTGCGGTTTATTGAGCCTTGCCACCCAGCACAGGGAAGGCCCAAATGAACCTGGTCTGCTCTGTGGCTGAGGCTATGGGGGTCTGACAGGGAAGGGACTTGTGGAGGGTCCTTTGAACTGGGCCCCTCAGAAAGGGATTCAGATAGACCCACACACTTTCCGGCCTCCACTGCTACCCTTGAGATATCCTTGGAGAGGATGTTGGTCACTTTGGCCCCAAGCCCATGTCAGGCTCTGTTATGACAACCTCTGATTGATGAGACATATTTATTCCATTCCTAGAATGTCTGCATGGCCCATTATAAACATTTTCTAGAATTTAAAATAACTTGTTTAAAGGTGATATGTGCTCATTAAAGACCTATTCAAACAATGAAAAATATATATTTAATGCCAAATCACCCCCCTTCCCCCACATCCCCACCACCAGATCCCCCTCCGCACCAGCATGACCCAACCAGCATCTTGTATGTCCTGCCAAAAGTAGCCTGTGCGTGTTCAAGCACAATGCACATTCATCCCTTTGTACACAGTGGGAACAAGCCATACGCGATGTTCCTCACCTTGCTTTGTTCACTTACTACTTATCTCCAGGATGGAGTTCCTTATCAGTACCCCGGAGCTTCCCCGTGTCCCATGGGCTGCATAGCTTTCCACTGTGTCTCTGCCTGCTCTGACCCTATTAATGGTCGTTTGGGTGGTTTCCAATTTTTTGCTCTTATTGACAGCACTGTGGGGTGGACCTGCTTTTGGCCACACGTGCAAGTATAACTATAGGGGGAGAGTCTTGGGAACGGAATTGCCGAGACAAAGAAAACGTGCCTTACAGTGTCACTAGAGACAGTGAGATCACACAAGGAGATTGCCACCAGTAAGGGAAAAAGCAGGTTCTGACTCTCGTTTCCTTGTGGCCTGCCTGGCTGGTCGGTTGCCCAGAGCAAGCCAATGTGGCAGCCTCCCGTTCGTGGAGGGCACCGCTGGTTTTCCCAGAACAGTGGTGGGAGAAGGTAGAAAGGTGTCAGTGAACTGACCGTGGCTTGGTCGGAATCCTGGCTCTGGAGTTTCAAGCTTCTTGGCCAACTTGCCCTTAAGGAGGAAAAAAGGCTGTCTTATGACTGGGCACCTCCTCTAGCTGAGCACCTACTGTGTGCCTATCTGTGAGGTTCTTGGGATGTCTAGAATCTGGTAGTCAAGCCAGACTTGCCACCACAGGGTGACACCCAGTGTGAGAGGACAGCGGGGGACTCTATGGTTAGTCGTCTGTGAGCAAAAGGAGGGCATCTCTGGAAGCATGAGAACGGTGTGCTTGGTGTTGGAGAGAGAGCAACGGTGTGGAGGTGGAAAAGTGCTCTCCCTGACACGGCCCATCCACAAGAAAGCCTTGGGCCACTGCCCAGCATGCCCTGGGCCTTCATTGAAGGCACCAAGCTCTGGAGGCTGCCCGGGGAAGGGCTTTTTGTTCTAAAGCTGCTGCAGCCGCCAGATCCACGTGCTTGGCAGGGCCCCAGCTGGGATGCAGTTGGCCGCCAGCCCTGCCTTATGGGGATGTCCATGTTCCCCTGCCCCAAGGTTCCAGGTCACCCCGGCCTATAGCAGGGACTGGAGAGATTCTTTTTAAAGTTTAGGCTTTTTTTTCTCTGTGAATCAGAGGGACAGTTAGGTGGAGTCCAGAGGGTGCTGGCTTTTGGAAATGGACGAGCCTGGGTATAGGGTGGCAGCTCTGCCCCCTGCTGTCTTGGTGTTCATGGGCAGTTGGACCCTGCAAGCCTTGTTTTCCCCATTTGTAAAAGGGGGCAAATGACCTCTAGGCCTTGGATCAGATGAGATAAATTAAAAAGGCCTTGTTGGTGTTACCATGAGCACATACCATCCTAGGTGCCAGTGGGAAGCTCGTTGATGTTGAGTTGACCAGCAAGAAAAAGACAAAGGAAAGCTGCCCATCTTAAGATTTGTTAGTGGAAATATTTCATGGATCGGTACAGTGACATGCAAACTTTCCATTCACCCCAGTTAAGCTCTTTCATTCACTCAACATGTACCTATTGAGGCCCTACTATGTGCCATGTGCTATTCTAGGTGCTGGGAGCACAGCAAAGAAAGGCCTTGCTTGAATGCCAGTTGAGTGGGAATTTTGCATTTATTCAAGGTCCTCATGTTGAAGCTTCTCTGGGGCAAAAAGGAAGCAATGAAAAAGTGTTCTAGAGCCCTGACCGTGGGGGACATCCCATAACTGGCTGAGAGCTAGGGGTGGTCTGGAGGGCTTTCCCAGAGGCATCCTGGGCAGGAGCTGTTCATGTTTTACAGATCAGGAAACTGAAGCACAAAGTCACACTCCCTTCTCTGCCTCTCCTGCTCAGGAGTGTGGCCTTCAGATAGGGAGCTGACTTTTGTCAGAAGGAACCCAGCATATCCCAGGGGAACATGAGCGCTGTGTCTCCCATGGTTCATGGCCTGGAGATTTGGTGGGCAGGTGACTCCAGTGAACTGGTGGATAGGGCCAGTGTCCCTTTGCTCAGTGTGGCTGCCCTTGGTCAGTACTGTAGCAGTGAGAGCTCTGGGACAATGGGGATTTTCTGGGCATGAAGTTGCATGGTCTTCTCAGCCATCAGCACCCCGTGCTGCCCTGCCCTGGCTTCAGATGGCATCTGCCCCTTAGGAGTATGTCTGTGAGTTAGGTGCTTATGTGGGTCAGCAAGGTTCTCGGACTACAAAGACCCAGGCCATGCCATGTGATGCTGGTCAGGGTTGGTGGCTGCCCCTTGCTGATTGTCCTTCAAATGGTCTACCTGCTTCCTTTTGAGACCTTCCCAACCCTGGAAGGGAAGGGGGAACAGCACTGCTTAGATGCTGGGAGCTGCTCTGGGCCTCTCAGCACCATGACAGTAACAGCTACTAGGCTTCTCAAGGGCTGGCTTCAACCCCTCACCCTGTAGTTTGTACTTTGTGTGAGTTTTCTCCTCACAACAGTCCATGCAAGGAGGTGTGTAGGTGTTCGACAGCCACAGATGGGATACTCTGCCCCTTGAGGCTTACATTTTAGTGAGAGATCCAGATAAACGGGTGAATAAAATAAAAGAGGCATGGGACAGCATGTTGGGGGATGGTAGCTATTCCCACTTTATAGATGAGATTGAGTTTGGGAGGCTGGGTAACTAGCCTAAAGTCAGAAGGTTCTGCTGAGAATCAATCACTCAGGAATCAGTACCCATTTTACAGATGAGGAAACTGAGGCTTAGGGGTTTACTTAACTTGTCCAAAGCCAGGCTGGGTTGAACCCAGGTTCACCTGACTTAGGAGTCTGAATTCATCCCCTGGTTGATTTCCCCACAACTCTGTGACAAGGGTGTTAACTATGTCCTGAGACCAGCAGGGGTTCCAGGGCCTGGAGAGACAGGTGACCTGTGCAAATCAGCACATGATCTAGGATTTGAACCCCTGACCTTGGCCCGACTGACTTGTGACTCTGTTTGCTTCAAGGCGCAACGTGCTGAGCTTGTCTTCTGGAATTGATAGCCCCGGCTCACTGAAGTGGGACCTTGCTCTCTGCCTTCTTTTCGTCTGGTTGGTCTGTTTCTTCTGCATCTGGAAGGGCGTCAAGTCCACCGGGAAAGTGAGTTGTGTTTCTGTCCGTCCTCCTGTCCATCCCCTGCCTTATGGAGATTGGCCCTTGCCAGAGAGCATCTCCTGCCCCACAGCCCTTCTTGCCTGAAACTGGCCCTGCCCTGGGGATGGGGTTGTAGGCTGATAAACCAGTCCTCAAAAAACAAGTAAAGCCCTGGCTTGTAGCATTCCCTCATTTTTTGATATAAAGATTCCCACCATATCTGATTTCTAGTTATTAATGGTTTAACCACCAGCTTGCAAAATTCCTGAAAGTTGAACCATCGGCTCTCTTTGGACTCTGGATAAGCTCCCACACACCACTGGTTCCCCACCGAGGTGCTGGCAGTAGGGCAAATGTTAGCAGATAACTGTTGTTGAGGTTGTGACTGATAAGTTAGCTGGTAATGAGGTTTCCTGCAGTTCTGTTGTCAATTACCAGTTCTTAATGGATCCTTGCTTTGCAAAGTTTCCCTGACCAGCAGTGTCAGCACCCCCTAGGACTTGTTAGACACGCAGACCCTGTGGGCCCGCCCTGGACCTACAAAATCAGAATTTGCACTTGAGCAGTAGCCAAGATAGTCAAATGCACACTGAGGTTTGAGTAGCACTGACTTGGATTTTTGCTAAGTCGAATGAACTGAGTTATGTTGCTTGCTATTAACATTTTAGCTGGTAACTAAGATGTTCCTTATTAAGGAAAGCTTTCATTGATGATTAAGTCTTTCACTCATAACCAGGATGGTAGTTGTTAACCAGAATGTTAGCCATAACTGAGCTGCTGATTAATATGTTACCTGATGACTGGGATGTTAGCTATTAACAAAGGTGGTAGTGGATAATTAAACGTTAGCTTATAATGAAGATTTTAGGTATACACTGATATATATTGGCAATAATGAAAATGTTAGCCTATAACCAAAATGTTCTGTGTTAACAGAGCTGAACAGTCACCTGCTAACTGACTGGTATTACGGTCAGTCTAATGACAATATCAGCGCAGAGGGGTCTGTTGTGATTAGTGTGAGTCTGACCACAGAGGTGGTGAAGTTGTTTGGAGAAAGGACTTTGGCTGCACCAGAATTTGGAATTAAGGACCGTGTTCTCTAGGGCTGAAGAGCCCCTTAAGCAAAATTGTGGCTCTGAACAGATTCCAGCTGGGCAAGATCTAGGACCCCATGGTTGCAGAGGCAGAATGGGAATGATTTTGGAGTGGGGGGCCCCATGCTCTGTGCCTCTTTCTCAGGGCACGACCACCCTGTGATCCTAAAACCCAATGTGGAAAGGAAGCAGGCCAGGCTTCGGGAATCTCTACCTGCACACACTCAGCCAACATCATCCCCCGGGATGGGCAGGAAGAGGACAGTTCAAGTTATTCTACAGCTCCCTGTAGCTCATACACCTGTGTTACCCCATTTTATCACCTCCCCGCTTAAACAGTGAGTGAACTGAGCTACGAGGAGGTGAAATGACTTGTCCAAGGTCACTCCCTCACCTCTGAGCCTCAGCTTTTTCATCTAGAAAATGGATGGTAGCCCTAGCAGGTTTGACTCAGTGGTTGGAGTATTGGCTCTCGGACTGAAGGGTCCCAGTTTCGATTCCAGCCAAGGGCATGTATCTCGGTTGCAGGCTCAATCCCTGGCCCTGACTGGGCCTCATGTGGGAGGCAACCAGTCGATATGTCTCTCTCACATTGATGTTTCTCTCTCTTTCTCTCTCCCTCTTTCTCCCCCTTCCGCTCTCTCTGAAAAGCAATGGAAAAAATATCCTCGTGTGAGGATTAAAAAAGAAATTAATTAAACAAACAAAAACTGAGATGCGTTCAGCACCAGCACGGTGCTTAGCATAGACTGCAGTAAGCCCCACTCCCTTCCTCACCCTGCCTCCATTTCCCCACATAGAGGTCAGAAGTTTCTGTGGAGCACTGGTCCCAAGCAATGCTGGAGACATGATCATAAGCTTTGAGCCTCTATACTTGCCAGGTACTGTTGTAGGAATGGGGCCTGGGGATATGCAAGGGTCAAGGAAACAGACAAAAGTCCCTGTGGTCCAAGCTGACAGATTCATTGGTTGTAACAAGGGGAATGTATGAAATACAGGCTGGGGCAAAGTAGGTTTACAGTTGTGAATATACAAAACAGATTTTTCTATTATTTATTAATTATTGTATTATTTTCCATACGAACAACTGTAAACCTACTTTTGTTCCACCCTGTATATAGGAATAAGATGGTGACAAGACCTATAAGGAAGAATAACATGGCAAAGGTGACCAGGGAGTACTGGGTGCAGTGTTAAATAGGGGGGCAAGGCGAGGTTTAACAAGAAGGGGACTTCGGGCAAAGATCTGAAGGAAGTGAGGGGGTGAGCCATGTGGCTATCTAGAGGAGAAACAATTCCAGGGAGAGAGCAGCTAGTGCAAAGGCCCTGAGGTCTGGCTGACCAAGACCCTTGAGGAGCCCCTAGTCTGATGGAGGAGGCCAGTGTCTACCAGGAACAGTGAGCAATGTTTGAGACACAATGGAGGGGGAAGGAGAATATAATCAAAGCAAAAAATAGTTCCAGGGTGCAACTGTGGCCAGTTGAAGACGTGACTTGTCAAAGGTCTCCCTAGGGACAACCTCCTCCTCAGGCAACTCCAGGCCCCCGAGGGGCAGGCGTGACTCCCAGAACAATAGCAGGGTCTGGGCCAGCCCGAGGAAGCCAAGACAAAAGTTAGGCTCAAGCTCCGCTCCACTGCCTGCCTGCCGACCCCCCACCCACCATCAGCCGTGGCTTCCAGCCCTTGCCATGGACCAAGTTCACAGCCACCGTGGTCCAGGCAGGTGATAGAAATCCAAACCCTCACACAGGGGGTACAGTCCTATGGACCCAAAGGAGGGACAGAGCACACGTGTCCTAAGGCTGTGCCACTCCGTCGCTCCAAGAGCCTCCAGGGCAGCTCTTCCATCCAGAGCTTAGAAATAAAGCAGGGGTTGCAGTCAGAGCCAGACCTGGTTTAGGGTGTCAGCTCTGTCCCCCCGACAAGCTACGTGGCTGGGCAAAACCCTTTCCCTCTCTGAGCCTCATTTTCCCCTGGTATGAAATGAATTAGCAATGCCATTCTCCCCTCCCCCCAGCACACAGGGTGCTGTGAGGACCCTCAGGGCTTGCTTAGTCACTGGGCACCAACCCACCGCCCCACCTGCCCAGGCCTTCACCCCCAAAGGAAGCTCAGGGTAGCAGGAGACTAGCCCATCTCTCCCCTGTCTCACGGGCCACCCTCTCCCCACTGTCACTAGAGAATGAGGAAGAGTTGTCCTTGCAAGTTTCCAGGGCAATTAGGCCACAGGGCATTTGGGTCGAGGGCTCAGTGGAGCCACAGAGGTTTGCCAGCAAGAGTGGAAAACTACCATGTCCCGTGGCAAGGCCTGCTGGGCCACCGCCAGAGGCCCACTGGCAGCGGTTGGCACCAGCCTCTCCCACAAGGATCCCGCGGGAGTGATGGAAAAGTTGAGAGAATGGCTCTCAGGGGCTTGTCCTCAGAGCGGCAAATTCTGCAAAACAAGGGTGGCTTTGCGAAGAGGCAGCTGAGGTGAGGCTGTGAGCAGGTGAGGCTGTCCTGTTCTGGATTTGGGGAAGAACACAATAAACACAAGACACAGGACCCAGAAACTAGCTGGATTGCATCCCACCTCTGCCACCCACTAACAGCTGATGTCACCTCTCTGAGCCTCAGTTTCCTCATCTAGGAAATGCAGGTAACAATAGCACTGACCTTTTCAAGTTGTTAGGATTAAATGAGTTAACATGCATAAAGCTTTTAGCGTACTGCCTGGCACACAGCAAGCACTACATAAGTGCTTGTTAAACAAATTAAATACAGGAAAACAAGGGAAGCCACCCCCATCCCCTGGTGGTGTCCTGTGTCCCTGACACAAAGCCCTCTGGCCACTGCCCGATTGTCCAGCCCAGTGGAGCCCAGCTGGCTTTGAAGTGGCCGCCCTCTGGGGATGGCCTGCTGTCAGCAGCTATTGTTCAGCTGCCCTGGGTGTGGCCCACTTCGGGGGACCAGAGGTGGGAACTGGTCAGGGGCCTGTCCGCAGGAAGGGAGGAGCAGCTCGCTGGTTTTCTTCTTTCACCCCTTCTGGGGCTTCCTGCGCTGCTCCCACCCTCCACGTCTGCCTTGTCCTTGGGAAATAGTGTTCTCTGCTTCAGGAAAAGAAAATAGGGTGGCCGGGGAAACTGAGGCAGGAGGAGGCCCACCCGGCTTATGGGATCATCAGGTGCGGGCTCCCTGCTAAGGTTTCTTGAGGGCTCACTACGTGCCAAGTGTTAAGCGATGTAATAAACACTCCTCTTACATGTGGGAGCTGAGGCCCAGCTGCCCAGCTGGGAAGTGGTAGAAGTGAGTATGAATCCCAGTCTGGGTGACCACGAGCTGACACTCTCGGCCACCCCACCTCAGAGCTCATCTGGTCTGAGCGTGCCCCACCTCACAGGACATGGTCAATGACAGTGACATGGTCAAGGTCTCGAAATCTGCCAGGCCTGAGCCGCCGGGGACTCCAGCCCCGCTCTGGCCTTTGAGAGGATGGGCTGACCTGCCAGACCTGGAGAGGTTTTTTACTGCTGTGTTGTCTGCTGGAGGCAGGCTCTGAGGCACACCCAGCGCTGCCACTTAAGTGCTGTATGACCTGTGTGGGCAAGTGATGGACCCTCTGGGCCTCAGTTTCATTACCTTTAACATGGGGATAGTAGTGAAACATATCTCAAAGGGCTAGGGCAGGACCCACTGCATACAGAAGTTATCACACTTGGAATAGTGCCAGGCATATAGTAAGCGCTCAATAAATGCTCTTTGGTGGTATTGACTGAGGGCAGCTGAGTCAGGCAAGCCCTGAGAGCTTCCTTTTTGCCCTTTTCCAAAGCCCCTTCTTGGTTATTTTTACACAAAAGGATAGTGATTGCCTTAGAATTCCGTTTCATTGAGGGTTCCTGTGCTAGCCAGATGAGGTCTGAGGGCTCTGTCACTTTCTGTCAGTGTCTCTTACCTTCCTGGACCCCAGCACTGCTCTGTGGTACCTTGGCACTGCCTCATCCTCACAACACCAGGGCACATTTATCCTGTTCCTCAGTCTTAGTTTCCTCACCTGTAAAATGGGTGCATTGGCTGTATGGTGGTTCCTCCCTAGTGTCTTGGCCCCCAGGGCTCTCAAAGGGAGCCAGAGACTCTGTGAACGATTCAGCCACTCATCTTTGAGCTCCTTCCAGGCATAAACCCTGCCTGGAAACTCCTCATTGTGAAGAAAAAGATGGGAAATCCATCCACTAGAACTGAGGCCTCAGGATGTTTGGAGGCCAGTGCTTTCAAGACAGGAGAGGAGAGAAAGTAGGGCAGACCCTGTCAGATGGGAAGGCCCAGCCTGGGTCATCTCTGGTCCACACCTTGCATTGACCTTGGCCTGTCTGGGCTGTGCATTGTGACCCAGGGAAGGCTGTGGGCCTCCCATAGCTCCAAGGAAGTAGAGGGCCTTCATCCTGGCTGAGGGGCTTTAGAGGCCTCATTTCCTTCCCAGAGGTTCCCTTGTGCTTCCTGCAAAATCACAATGTTAACAACAGGCCCCATTTCTCAAGCACCTATGAGCCAGGCAGGCACTCTCTTGGTTATGTTAGATGCATCATCTGTTGAATCCTCGCCTCGCCTCACCTCTTGATGATGACCTATTTCTCCTATCTCCATTTGACACATGAGTCAACAAGCCCAGAGAGGTTAAGCATGATGCCCAAGGTCACACTGCAAGTGGGGGGATAGAGCTGGTATTTGAACCCACACTTACCTGATTCTTTTCTTTTTTTAATCCTCACTCGAGGATATTTTTTCTATTGCTTTGTGGAGAGTGGAAGCGAGAGAGAGAAACGTCAATGTGAGAGAGACACATCGATTGGTGGCCTCCCACACAGGGCCCGGGTCGGGCCAGGGATTGAGCCTGCAATCGGAGGTGTGTGCCCTTGACTGGAATCGAACCTGAGACTCTTCAGTCCGAGGTCCGATGCTCTAACCACTGAGCAAACCAGCTAGGGCCACACTTATCTGATTCTTAACCATGAGTCATACTAATAGTTGTAATGTAAGCTAATATGAACTAATATGAGCCAACCATTGGACTATGCCTTTTTCATACACACTTAATTTACTTTCTTATTTTGCATTTTCCGTCTTTACTGTTAGAATGTGAGGGCAGGGATTTGTTCTCTGTCTTGTCCACCACTATTTTTTTATTGAATCTCGGTAAATCTATGAGGTAGGTACTTATACCCAGGTTACAGGTGAGGCAACTATGGCCCAGAGAGTTTAAGCGATATGCCCAAAGACACACAGCACATGAAATGGCAAGCTTAGCCACAGAACTCTTGCCTCGGAAAAGGTGCTCTAATTTAACAGCAGTAGGAGATGCCACAGGCCCCCCTGAATCCCTCTTGTTCCTCGCAGGTTGTCTACTTCACGGCCACTTTCCCATTTGCTATGCTCCTGGTGCTGCTGGTTCGTGGACTGACGCTGCCTGGTGCAGGCGCAGGCATCAAGTTCTATCTGTACCCTAACATCAGTCGCCTCGAGGACCCACAGGTACTTCTGGGCAGTCTGTCCTCCCTTCTACCCAGGGCTGTGGTTCTTGGGTGCACAAATCTAGCCGAGCCGTCACCCCCTAGTATTTTTCCACTGGGCGGTGGTGGATCATTTGCAGCGCTTGTGGGCTTTTCCAACTGTGTGTGTATCTGTGCATGTCGAGGACTCCTGAGGCAGGCCAATTATAGAGTCTTCTTCAGGCACTGCGCCAGGGAGGAGAGAGAAGTCTTTCTGAGCTAGTCTCTCCTTGGACCTGGCCTCAGCCTGCACCAGCCAAGAGCTGTGCATCGTGGGGGTGAGAGCTGCTGGTTTCCTTGGCCAAGGATGGAATTCAGAGTTGGTGACCTCTTGGAAAGCTGAGGGATCAGTACTGAACGTTCACCTCTTGGCACTCCCCACATGGCCACAGGGGGTTGGAGAAAACCCTTGGAGATTTTATGGGCCTGTTTCAAGATCTTTCTGTCCCCAGGATCCTCAGCCTTCAGGTTGCTGCTTTGGGTCTCTTCCCCACTCTCTGCTTGTCCTGGGCAGGAGGTAGATGGGAGGGGGCTTGGCCAGCAACAGACGACAGCACGGAAGAGCTTTGTGGCCATAAGGAGATCTCCCTAATGAAGTACCTGGGGAGCAGCTTCGACTGCATTAACCATTAGAGGATTCGTCTCTATTCCAACTCAGGGTCCCCAGACAGTAACAGTGACAGTAATGACAGTAATGACAGCAGCCTTGACTTACGGGCTGCCTGCCAGTGGCACTTGGCTAAATCTTTGTTCTTTGAACCTGCAAAATAGCTCTGTTGGGCAGGACCTTGGAGCCCGTTTTGCAGATGTACAGACTGAAGCTTAGGGAGTCATATTTACTTGACCACAATGATTCCATGGTTGGAATTAACCATGATGCTGAGGGACTATGCAGTTTCTTCAACTTCTGGGGTTCCTTGAAGCTCAGGGTTGTCTTGAAAGGCACCTTGGATTTCACCACAGACACTCCAATTGCAATTGAGAATCTGCACATTTTGAGGTGCAGTCCTCTGTGATCAGGTGGCCAGGGACCCACACGGCCCCCCCCAGGAAGCCAGCTCTAACTGCTCCTCCTCTCTCTCCTTGCCACCCATCCCCCGCACTCCCATAGGTTTGGATCGATGCTGGGACCCAGATATTCTTCTCCTATGCCATCTGCTTGGGAGCCATGACCTCACTGGGGAGCTACAACAAGTACAAGTACAACTCGTACAGGCAAGTGTTGTGCCAGCGGGCCTGGTGGACCTTAGAAATGATGATGTTTAAAGAAAAAAGAGAAGTAGGGAGCGTGGCTTCCTTGTGTTGTGAATTAACTTGCTCCCTGACATATGTGTAACTTAGGGACTGTATGCTGCTGGGATGCCTGAACAGTGGTACCAGTTTTGTGTCTGGCTTCGCAATTTTTTCCATCCTGGGCTTCATGGCACAAGAGCAAGGGGTGGACATTGCTGATGTGGCTGAGTCAGGTATGGTGGTATCGGTGGCAGTGGTGGTGGGCACTGCCACCTAGTGTGTAAGCCAAGTACTGCAGGCATGAAGCCAGACCCCAGGGGCTTTGGAGGGGGGGGATGAGCCTGGTTTCCAAAACGGACCCCCCCCCACCAAGATGTCCCCCAAGTACCAAAGAGTACAAAAGCTAAATTTTAAACACTTTCATTGCAATTTGGCCCAAGGGGCGGCAGAAACATGGGTTTGGTTAAGTTGGGGCATATTTAGCTACTTAAGTGTGGTCTTACCCCCTTCCTCCTCCTTCCCTAGCAAACTCCTGGTTTCCAAAACAGAAACTACTTTCCTAACTCAGGCCCAAGTCAGCCACCAATCGGCATTCCATCGCCACCTTCTCAGCTTTGGTTTCTGTATTTTGCACTTTGCTCCTAGCGCGCTCCTCTAAGCAAACCCATTAATTCATTCCACTGATGTTTATTGATTTATTGAGTCTCTCCTCTGTGTCAGGCACCACCGTAGGCTTGGGGTGGGGGAAGCCATCTGGCGTGGCAGGTTGCCCTCTGGGACAGGAAAGATCTGATTTGGGGGTGGGTTGTGGGGACACTCACCCTCTCGGGGTGTGGGCCTTATTGACAGTGTACTCCCCCCGGGACACTTGGAAGTGAAGAAAAGAGTCTTAGAATCACAGACTTTGCACAGCTTGGGATCCTAGACTGGGATCCTGGAGCTCCAGCAAGACAGTTCAGGAATCTGAGAATCATGCGGTCTAGATTGCTAGAATCCTAGAGCCTCAGAACCACAGTATCTCAGGTGTCTAAATTCCAGTACTGGCCATGATGCGCCAAGTCCTGGACCTGCAGCTTTAAAACTGCAGTGACTTAGACGTGGGAAAGAGAACCTTAGGCTTCCAGGATCCTCAAGTCCACCTTTCTAGCTTCTCTGCCCTTTCCTGGTCCTGCCCAGCTCACAAGGTGGCTGGCAGTTGCCTGGAAGGTTTGCTATTTTACACACCTCCCTCTGCTCCGCCCGACCTCCTGATTTCTCATGACCTCTTTGGGGCCTCTTGGAGGCAGGTGGGGGTCCTGGGCCAAGGTGCCTCAAGTCCCGAGGAAAGTGTAAGGCTTTGACTCCAGGGACCGCCACAGACCAGGGTTAGGCACACCTGGAGTCCCTGCTAAGGTGTCACGTTGCCCATAGGACCCTAGAGTTGGGGGGCCAGGGGTACCTCAGCATTGTGCATTCAGATGTCTGCTCCACAGATGAGACCAACAGCCTGAGAGCCTTGGGCTCCTCAGGGTGAGAGCTGGGGTCTCTAGGACAGGGCCCCTCTGATACGAGGGTGTCTCCTCTCCTGCCTCTCCAGCCCACCTTGGACACGTGACCACCTCTGGCCCTTCCTGTATGAGAATATCTCCCCTGACCTCTCTGAGCCTCTGGGCCCTGCTTTCCTCCTCACTTGCAAAGATGCTGCCAAGCCCAATCCTCACGTCCACATGCGCAGGGACAAGGTGGCAGGTCCACCCTTCGGCCCCATGCATTTCTCCACTGACCCCGGTTCCAAATCAGACCTTCAGGCATAGTTTTCCTGCCCTGAGAAGCCCCCAAAAGCAGGCCTGAGACTGAGGGCACAGAAAGTAAATCCAGAAATACCCACCCCCACCTGTGAGTTGGCAGAGTGGTGAAGGGAGACAGTATTCACCTCTTCGCAGGTGGCTTTTTTCTCAGTCGAGGGCTTGCAAACTGACTCTGGTTGATCAGGAATCTGCAGGAGCACGGAGTGAACTTGGTGGGAGATAGGTATCGCTATGTAAGAGCTCTCTGTGGACAAAGAGGTATTTTGACGTGTGTGTACATTGCCAGCCTAAGCTGTTTGCTCCCTCCCGTCCACTTCAAAGACCTTGGCGTTTATTCCCCACGGTGATGTCTGAACAGCCGACACATCAAGGGTGATTATTTCTCTAATAAGCTTTTAACAAGCACCATATTGAGCCAAGTACATTGAACGAGATCATTATTTAGCTGAACGGAAACGTAGAGAGGTGCGTCCTGCTAGCGGAGAGGCACGCGGAATGCTCGGAGCGGCCGCGTTATTTCACACGGACTTCCCTGGATCTCGCCGTGCGCTTTAGACGGGCGCCCAGACCCTCTCCCAGAGGCTGGCTTGGGAAAGGCAAAACTGAAATACAGAAACGATGCCTTGAGAACCGTCGCAGGCCCCGGAGGGTGGGGGACGAGGAGTGGGGGGGCCCCATTTTACATCTGTCTCAAAGTCGGCTGGACTTGACTCCTCACGCAGAACTGACGTGTTAGGGGCCGGGGGCCGCAGCCTAAGCAGAAGTGTGGTTTCTGAGCCCAACCTGGGCCTTGGTTGGGGTTAGTGTGAGCACCCCTCCCACCGCTTCTCAGGTGCTGGTTTTCTAGCCGCCCGAGGATGCTTGGTCGTGGTCAGGTTTCCCTCAGGTCCGGTGGATTCTGGATTATGAAAGGACTCGCCCTTGACTGCCACATTTGTGTTTAATGCTGTGGGATGTGGTTTCTGGCTCCAGTTTATTTCAAAGTTGTTTTTTTCCCATTCTTAAACCATTCATTTGGTTCTGATATCTGCTTTAAATATCCTGCCTCCAGCCCTTTTTGTTTCCCATTTCTTTTCTTGGCATTTTGTGTATTTTTTTTTTAAGTTGTGGATTTTACTTTATTTTTCTCCCATCTCTTGGACCCACAGGTCTCAGTTACAATCCAGCAACCCAGTTCTTCCCCCTGACATCTGCTCTCAGGTCGGGGGGAGACAGGGGCACACATTTCTCACGTCTTCAGAATGTTTCCTGTCCGAACGGTGCCCCTGAGCTGATGGGGCTCCTGTCTCCCAAGCCCAGCCACCAGATTTTGTCAGGGTCCCCTCTTTAGAAACCAGAAGCCCTTTGCTAGGGAAACAGTGTCAGCATCTGAGAATCTGAACTCAAGAGGGCTCCTTGGGAGCCATTTATGGTAACCTGCCCCTCGCTTTTCAGGAGGGGAAACTGAGGCCCTGAGTGGGCATGTAGTGATGTAAAGAGTAGATGGAGGAGAAAGTGGGGTGAGGACTTGAATGTAGGCCAGGGCTCTCCCGGGCCTGGCGGCTTGCCCTGCACACTCCTCCCTTCAGCGTTGGGCCTTGGCTCTGCTCAGGTGGGTGCGCAGAGGCGCCCCTGAAGAGACCCTTGCCCTGCGGGGCATGGTTCTCTATTCTTTTTTCTTTCCACTCATGCAATGTTTTAGTAGAAACCTTTTCTTTGCAAACGGGGATTTAGTAGTCAGGTAACCATAACTTTTCCCCTTGCTTCCTTCCAGCAAATGTTGGCATGGTTGCTCTGGTTGGGGCGGGAGAGGTGCTCCTTTTCTGAGCCAGCAGGCTAAGTCACCTCAGTCCCATTTCCCACCCCAAATAACCAGCGTCCAACCGGAGTCTGGTGTGTGAGGAGGCCACTCGTGCTGCTGCTTAGGAGACAGATGCTAAAACGGGGCCCTGCCTGAGCTTCCGTGCGTCCCACCCAAAAGTGAGACAGGCCTGGTCTCTTTCCCCAGGCAGGAATTCAGGCCTGGCTCTTTCTTGCATTTTGGGTTTGGGAGACCCGCCTTAGACCCAGGTGTCTTTGTATGAGCTCTGGTGCTCCGGGTGCTCGGCCACTGATGTGTCTCCCTGTCTGTCCCTCCCCATCTTCTCTTCCCTTTAGGTCCTGGCCTGGCCTTCATTGCCTACCCAAAAGCTGTGACAATGATGCCGCTGCCCACTTTTTGGTCCATTCTCTTTTTTATTATGCTTCTCTTGCTTGGACTGGATAGCCAGGTATGTACCGATTGAGGGGCTGGCCCCAAGGTGGGCCTGCCCATGGGGAACCTCGTTCTGGAAAAGCCTCCTTTGTGCTGTGTGTGAAGTGGCTACACCCTTCCCACCCTCACGGCAGACTTGCAACAGCTTCAGCTAGCAAGGGTCCCTCTGGGAGCCCGGGAGTGGGGAAGGCCTCAGGGCTGCAGAAGCAGAACTTCTGCCCCAAAGCTCAAGTCTTTGATCTCAGTGAGGGGAAACGGACAACCCAGGGGTGTGGTTAAAACAAAGCGATAGGTGGGAAATTAAAGGCCAAGGCTGAAACAGGAATAGTGCCCTCCTGTGGAGTGGCTGGACAGGGGCCCAGGAGTGACACAGTGCAAGAGCAATTAAGGGACCAACATCTCTGCTTAAAGCACAAGGTGGTCCCTGCCCGGGTCAGCATTGAGAGCCCTAAGGGGGTCCCGAGGAGCCTGAGCCACACACTTCTGTGCTTCCTAGAGCCCAGGAGTCAGAGAGCTTGTCCCCACAGTGAAACCCTGATCCTCCAGTGCTTCCTAAACAGCTAAGCACTGGGGAGCCTCCCTCAAACCCACCCTGTCCTCTGGCTGGCCTGGTTTCTGCCCTCCAGAGGCAGGATTCCATCAAGGATGTTTCCGGCACATCACTGCCATGTCCCACCCCTCCAGGGCTCCGACCTCCACCTGGTGCTCAGTGAGAGCCAACCAGGGGCTGCGTCTGCCTTTGGAGTAATATAGTTCTAAGCCCCCCAAGATGCTGTGTGACGTTGGGCACATTTCCTCCCCCTCTGAGCCTCAGTTTCCTCATCTGGTAAATGGGTATGATTATATCTCCATTACCTTACGTGAAGCACCAGGTACAGTGCCCGGTACAAAGCAGTCAGTGGTACTTGGAGGATGAATAGCGTGAGCTCTCGGTCACCTGTCCCTGGAGATATGTGTATTTTCATTGGGGTTTTTACAAGACGACAGTTTTGAGTACAGGCATGACTCCAGAGTGGGGAATTGTAGTGTGCAGGGCAGGCTGGTCCTGTGCCCACGCTAGTTAGATTTGAACCTTACATGTGGTGCCTGTCACCCAGGGGCCAGCATCTGAGGTCAGCCACGGAAAGCAGTCATTTTGCAGCCTCATGTGTGGTCTGGGTGTCTGGCTGCCTCATGGAAGGTCGTTGGTCATCTGAGACCCAGTGGGAGGTGGGGGCCTGTGCCCACCTGAGGGCAGCAGCCGAAAAGCGAGTGCCCAGGGTGGGTCCCCGAAAATTCAGAGGAAAGTCTTAAAAGGTCAGGCAGAGCAGAGGAAGTGGTCCACCAGCAAGGTCAAGAACAGAGCGAAGGATTTGGCAGAAAGGGAAACAGGATTAGCAGAAAAGACAGAATGAAAATATTTGGGGGTTTGAAAACAAAATACTTACACAGTTGTTGATGGGCTTGAGCTGTGTAAACAGCAGGAGGACTCCATTAATCATTCCTAGTTAATGAGTTTGGCCTTCAGAGGCCCCAAGCAAATGGCTTTTATAACTTCTTCCAGACCTCTAAGTGAAAGCAAAAAACAAAAATAGAGGTTAATAAATGATGAAGCCTGACATCTCCATGGGCCCAAAATAGGCCTCTTGGGCTACAGAAACTGCTTCCTGAGCAAGTGGAGGTGGGTTTATTCGTCAGTGTTTTTTTCTCTGGGAGGCAGGTGGGGCAAGCTGAGGACCTGCGCCTCTGAGCTCAGCCCCATAGTGGCCAAGGTGCTTAGGGAATCTCAGGGAGCTCTCAAAGCCAGCCTCAGAGGGAATGGTTCTCTTCCCACTTTAGAGCATGGAACTCTGCTCAGAGCCCTTAAATAACCTGCCTGTTGATATACCAGCAAGGGATGTGGTGCGATTATACCTGGTGAGCTGGGGGGGCCTGGTGCCTCGAGTCCAGTGGCATAGGTTGGGATCCCCCATTTGCACTATGTGCTTTGGGAACATGGGGGAAGGTTTTGCCAATGCTGGTGACCACCTCCCACACCAGCACTGCGATAGGGTCGGAGCACTGCCATTCAAGGTGGTCACACGGGCCAGGCTCCATGCCAGCTTCTTATGTGCATGCGTGTGTGGTAAAATAACACAGAACATAAAGCCGCTCATCTTCCATTTTTAAGTGTGCACTTCAGTGGCATGAAGTACATTCACATTGTTGCAACCATCACCACCCATCCATCTCCAGAATTTTTTATCTCCCCAAACTGAATCTCTGTTCCCATTAAACACTAACTCCCCATTCCCCCCCTCTTCCTGGCCTGGCTTTTTTCTGCATTAGCTCCTTAATCTGTGCCGATGCCAGGAAAGCTGAGGTTTAGAGAGACGAGGACTCCCCCAGAGGCCACGCACAGCTGGTTAAGGTGGAGCCACGACTCAGCCCTGGGCTTGCCTGTTCCCAGACCTGTTGGTTTGTCTCCCTTGCTTTATCTTTGAGTTACCCCTAAATAGCTTCCTGCTGTGGAAGTACAGAAACCCAAAGTCAGCCTTAAGTGGGGCCTCTCGCTGATGGAGGAACTTGATGCTTGCTCATTACAGGAAACGTTTTCTCAAAATTTCCAGCATTTGGGGGACCAGTCTCTGGCTTAGGAGCCATCGTACTGCTGAGTGTTTCTTGGTGAAATGGAGTAGGGACGTCACCCACATGGAGACAGATGCCTGTAGGTGTCTGGCCTGCCCAAGGGGGACACAGTTTGTGAACAAACATCACAAGAAGAGAGCTGGAGCCCCTCTTCCAGGAGTTCACCCATCCCAGCCCCCCTGATATGGGTTAAAACCAGTTAATCACCCAATTGCCAAGTCACTCTGGTGATTTCAGATCTCTCTCAGTATCCCTGCTGAGTAAACAAGACCCTTCCATTTTATAAGGGAGAAACTGAGGCTTGGAGAAGTTAGGGTCACATAGCTATTTAGTGAAGCAGGTCTGAAGAGACGGGTGGAGGGGGGTGAGGGGGTGGTGTTCTCCGGAAATGTGGGCAACTTGGAAATGAGGGGCTTGTGCAAGTCTTGGCCCTGACTCACAGTGACACTGGATCTTCCTGCCTGTAATTTCCCCAGCTCAAGAAAAGAAGGAACCTTTGTTTTTAAACTCCCTTTGAAGCTAGCATTTGAGCTGCAGGTTTGCTATAATTCAGTAGCAATTTAGGTTCAAAACCCCTTTAGCTGACACATCAATGAGAGGTCGAAACATCAGCACCTTGTATTTGGGCCTCTTTCAAGAGCCTCTTTGGTCATCTTTTTCCTGAATCCCTGGCAACAAAGAGTCATTTCTCCTGCCCTCTTTAGCACATGAAAGGGATCTGCTCCTTGTTTGTATTCCCTGATCCTCCTGTGATGCATCCCAGAGGAGTAAGTGGTTGGATTTGTCTTTTAGGAATGCTGAGGAAACATTCCTTCCTAAAAGCCTCTCCCAGATGAAAGAACAGAACTGACGGGTGGGGGTTTTAGCTTTTCAACTTAAAGAAGTCAGATAGGCCTCAGAGGGTGTTGGCTGGCAGGGCAGTTTGACTGTAGCCATCCAAATGTAAAATGAGGCTATGAGCCTTTTAATCCTGAAGTTTTACTTATGCACATACGCCTAAAGACAGATGGAGGGGAAGAGCCCTTGCCTAGGTCAGTAGCTGCAGAGGCTGGAAGCCGTCTGTTGGGCCCTGGTTAGGTCTCATAAGATACCTGTCCATAGGATGGAGTTTCATGATGCTGTTTAAAAAACAAGGCAGCTCTCCATAATGATATGGAAGTCTCCAAGATACATTGTTAGGTGCAAAGATGGGAAGATTTAGAAAGATTGAGAGTCATTCTAGATCATTACCTCACATTTGGGAGCCCAGGGATGGGTTCCCAGAGTGCATAAGCCTTCGAGTTGTAGCTGCATTGAGCTCACACAGATGGGCATGTAGGTGGGAACGCATGTTTGCAAAATTCTCTTGTGGGCCTATGACCCCCAGAGAGTTAAAAACCACCATGTGAATCTGAAGGGGAAACTGAGGCCCAGACTTGCCCTGGCTTACCCACCCATTCAGCATGTGTCTGTTGAGCAACCACATGTGCCTGGCCCAGGTGGGCATTAGAGGCCTAGAAATGAGGGGCACCACCTTTGGCTTCAGAGAGGACCAAGACCAAAGTAGGAGAGGTTGTATTGTTGACACACTTGCGCCAACACATGTGCCAGGGCGGAGGGTCAGCACTGGCTTCCCAGAAGCGGTCATTCTTGAGCTGAGTTTTCAATGCGGAGGGAAAGGCGTTCTGGTGGCGGGACGAGCCTCAGCAGAGATGGGGGCCATGGAATGTGGGGGAAACCGCATGGGCCACCGTAGCCTGACCCGCAGGCTGAGCCTAAAAACTGGTTCACATGTTTGAACTTGACCCCGCAGGCCTACTGCGGCCCCAGGCTCCTCTTTCTAAGCAGAGGGGAGGTGCTGGGCACCTGCCATTCAACCTCTCTCTTTTCCCCCCAGTTTGTTGAAGTTGAAGGACAGATCACGTCCTTGGTTGATCTTTACCCATCCTTCCTAAGGAAGGGTTTCCGTCGGGAAATCTTCATCGCCTTGATATGTAGCATCAGCTACCTGCTGGGGCTGACGATGGTGACGGAGGTAGGTGGCTCTCTTACCTGGCACCAGGGGCCTCCCCTTATAGGGCCCTTGGCGCCCCTAATACGTGTCTCAGAGCAATTCAAGGCCATATCACCTCTGTGGTCCCCCCAACAGCTGGATGAGAGGACCAGGGTGGGTAATCTCCAATTCAGAGGTCCTTCCCTCCCCAGGGGACTCAGCCTACACTGTGGAGGGGAACCCAGTTGACCCAAATTCCTCCACCTTTTTCCTGTTACCATGGCAACACTGCAGCTCCCCGGCTCTCTCCCTCATTCTGGAAGGCCTGGCGGGGAGGGGTGTTTCAGCTAAAATCCATTTAACAACATCTCGGTTCCCCCATGACTCTGCAGCCACCTTCGCAGGCCCAGAGGGGAGGTGGTTCCCCAGGGTAAATACTGTAGGCGGTGCCGAGGCAGGGAGGGGCAGGGTCCAGAAGAGGGTCCATTTAAAATGTAACCAAGAAACAAGGAAAGGAGAAGAGTGACTAAGGCAGCAGTGGATCAGCATGTCTAGCAAGAGGTGGGCCAGAGAAGAAAAGATTCTTGTGCTAAATAACGTAAGCGTGTAAATTTAGCATAGGCCCAGGGCATGCTCTGTCCTGTACCTCTCCCCACCCACCTCCCCATATTCCCCAGCAAAGGGCTGCATTTTAACTCAATTCAGGGTTTCCCATCACCACTTTTCCTTACTAGAAGTAAAAGTAAATGTTTTTTTCTGGAAGTGTCTATAAGAATTCCCCTGCCCCCCCCCCC